CTTTCATCACATTCATTGCTTGCTCTGCAACAGCCTCTGAATTGATCCATCTCTTTGTTATACTAAACAGGAACAGATTTGCCCGTCTGGGGCCTGAACACTGGTGGTCAGAGCATAAGGATTACTTTCTGTGTTTTGCAAGCTCTATTCTTGTTTACATAGTTCTTTATGGTGTTTTCTTTCTTAATGACAGCATGACATGTTGGCTTACAGTCATCTGTTCCACTCCGTGGACTCAGGGTCATCTTCTTAGGAACAGTTAGCCTGCCTGTATTTTTTTCCATTTGATTATTTCTACCTAAACATATTAATTGCCTTTGTTTTGAATAATGGTTTTAGCCCATTTTTCCAATTTAAGAGATTTATCTTTTTTTTAATTACAGTATTGTCCATCATACTTGCAACCCTTCTAGATGTGCCACAGAAACATTATAAGCAGAGTCATTACATTTCTTTCTGGAAGTGTATTGTTGCCTTCTGGAGTGCTCACAAAATCCCCTAAATCCTTAAATATTTTGAAATACCTTGCTGTAAATGTTCCTGAGACACTACCGTGTCTCCTATAGGACATTCAAAGAAGTGAATCCAGTTGTCTTAAAATTTAGGCTAGCAGCTGGACCACCTTTCTAAAAGTCAGCTTGCACTCTTTGTACCTTGAGTGATGATGGTGTCCAGGTTGATTTGTCATAAGCTGATTTTCCCCCAGTCTTTCCATCCTCTAAATATCTATGGGCCTGTTAAGGAAGCAGATTTGTTTATTCTTATTGAGTTTGTTCATTGTATGAAGTCAAGCATGCATGTGTAAACTTATGAAAGTGTGGCCTAGCACTGTAAGTTTCTTAACCCAGTCCCAATAAATAAAGCTAAAAAAAGACTATAATCACAATTTGGGAAGGATTATGCACGGATCAAAGTAAACACAGCAGTTCCATTAAAATTTGTAGATTAAAGAGGCTGCAGAAAATATGGTCTGGCCTAATGAGAAAGAGAATTATTTTTTAGCCCCCCAGTTAGTTCTCAAGGATACCATCTCATATTTCCCCTAATATTTTCCAGGAGATGTGTATACCTTCTCTCTGTCAGTATTCCAAAATACACGTATTTGTACAGAGCAATCTTCTCCCTCAGTGCAACAAATGAGGGTTTTCCCTGTGATTTTCCTTAAAGACTAGGCTGTGGAGTTGGCATTTGGTTCACAAGCTTTTGATCCTAGAGTGGCTTGCATCCAGAGTGTGCGCAGAGCATTCGATATCGTGTCCTTAATTTCACAGGATATTCTGAGTTGGAAGGGACCTACAAGGATCATTGAGTCCAACTCTTAAATGAATGGCCCATACAGGGATCAAACCCACAACCTTGGTGTTATTAGCACCATGCTCTGACAAGCTGAGCTAATCTCAGGGTCATGAAGTAGCTGTTGGTGCACTGCTCAGTAGGAGACTCGTTCTGAAACAGCAGCTTTAGAGTCTATCAGATTTTCCTGGGTGGGTCTCTGGGGAGAGAGGCTGAAGAGTTCCTGAGAATCAGGAACTCTTTTCTCTCTTTCTCTCCTTTCACTGCAGTGGGTTTGCAGTGAAATTAAAACTCAGTGATAGATTTTTTTGTTTTTCATCCCAGAGCTACTTAGGCTGCACCATCATTTCACAGCAACATTATACTGTAAAATATGGTGTGTAATTACTCATTTCAAAATGTTGTCTTATAGCACTGTAGATCAGGAGAATGTCCTCTGAAAATGGTGGAATTATTATAATTTTACTCAGTGAGAATATAGTTAAAGAGACAGGAAGGCAATGAAATGTAGCAGTAATTAAATACAATTAAGGACAGAAATGTTTCAATCTTTCCTTGCTTACAAGAAAGCTGGATGATGTAAGCTCATGGTCCATGTGAGAAGCAGTCCATTTCTGGGGAGGTGCCCAGAAGCGTGACTTTGTCAAGCTACAGGCAAACCTGATGTCCTGTGATGTACATTAAGATACAAAGAAGAATCCAAGAGGTAAGAGAAACCAAAGAAAAGAGACAGAGGTTCAACCAAATCACAGTTGCAGACTGAAGTCTGATAGAAAGAGCCTGAATCATCTCAGAAACTTCTTTGGAAAGGAAGGGGATTTGCAACGACTTGGAAGAGTGATACAGTCTTAGGTCTTCCCTACCGTTGTGCTTTACAAGACCTGAGTGTTTCTCCCCAGGCAAGCTGGGACAGCTTTGTGTCTGCTGCCCCATCCCCTGATTTGGCAGCTTGAAGAGACTGGAAGGCCATTTTCTTAAACAACCCATCAATCATCAAGAGAAAGCAGAATATCAGAACGAGTAATGTAACATGAAAGGAGTGATAGGAAACATCAACAATTCCTGTTAAGCAGAGCAAATGATAAAGCTGGAACAACATTGAACCTTTTGACGGTTTTAGGAAGCTAATCTGTCGTGTAGGGAAAATATCTTTGCAAAAGTTTCTATAAATGTTCTAGAACCCCTCAACCTTATTGAAACAGGAGCTTGGCTCACTTGGGCAGAACAGATTGTTATTTTGGCATTTTACAGAATTGTCTGTCTTCTATTGCTTCTCACACATAAGTCTCAAAGTGTATTATAGGGTGGTCAATAGCATTGTTCCTGCTGTGCTGAAGGGCCAAATAAGCACTCAGGGTTGATAATTTGCTTAGGGTTACCGAAAAAGCAGAACAGGGGACTCCAGAGTGCCTGTTTTGTACGTTATTTGCTCAGTCAGTGTTTCCTGAGAAAAATCCACCTAGGGAAGATTGGCACAGTATATTAGCACGAACAGAGATCATATCAAAGAGTTTAACACCTCAAATTGACAAAGGTGAAGCAGGAGAACAGAGGGATGTATTAATTTTCTTCTAGTCTCACAGCAGGTTAACAGGAGAAACACGACTCCAAGCCAGGTCCCTTGCTTTACTGACCAGCAGCCCACCCCCAGGCCAGGCTGGCTCAGCCAGGGTCTGTGGTCACACTCTCTCCTCCTGAGATGACACCCTATTTTCACCTGGAGGTGGAAGAGAGAACTGATAATATGAGATACATTTATTTTGCACAAGAGTGAAGTTCTACAAACAGAAAACTCTCTGACAAAGGAGAACAAGAGAAGAAGAAAATTTAGAAATGCTGTACCATGTATTCACATTTGGCAACTTATACTTCAGAGTTAAAACAATTTTGCATGTGCCCTTTTGAAAGCATGAGGCTGCATGCATGAAGAAAGCACCCATTTCCCTTATGTTTTGAGCAGGGAACCATATGTTTCAAAAGCAGAAAAAGAACAGTTAGCCTTGGAGCATTAAATCTGCCCATCTAGGTAGCTGACTAGCTTTCTCACAGAGATGAATGTCCTAGAACAAAGCTGAGGAAACAAGGCTTAGAAGTGTAAATATTAGTAGGTGCGTGGGGAGATAAATGAGAAAATTTGACAATTTTAATTACTTGCACTTACTTTCACCTGCTGAGTTCCCTGGCTGACATCAGAAATTACATCTGTTGGGTTACTAGCGGAGTAGGCAGAGGGAATGGGGACAGTATAGTCTCAGTTTCCACATTCACAGTAGAATCTGCACTAACAGCATATTATCTGATGTAAAAAAACCCACCCTAATAGAAACAGGAGCTTCCTCATATCTCCCACAAACATGGAAAGTACCATGTAGGGTTAGCTGTCAGCTCAGCAGGAGCTTCCAGACCTCTGGACACTTAAATCACAACATCATTACAGTCACCTCTGGATACCCTGATTGAGGTTTTCCTATTTTACTTGGTAGGGTTATAGATGGAAGGAGGATTAAATGATAAAGTGAATCATGTGACAGTGTTTGAATGCCTACACAATAAAAAAAATAGGGTGATAGGAGGAGAGCTTTTTATTTCAAGAGATTGTGTGGAATAGAAAAACACAGATATAGGGCATTACGGTTCCTCACACTGTTCTTAGTTGCACAAGGTTTGTGTGTTGTGTCTGTTTTGACTATGACATCCTTGGGGTAAGGACTGTGGGTTTTTTAGATCACCTAGGACAGCATTGCCCTGGTCTGTGTGTAGCCCTGGAATGAAAACATTAATGACTGTTTTTCATGGCAGACACTACGGCAGGCTGTATTTTCAAAGAGGTACAGTGTGTCTGATTTAATTTAGCTTTCAATATCCATTTCAGTCTGGTAGTTTTGTGCTTGACTGCAATCACAGAGCAAGAGGTAACAATCCATGGCCTCACTGATATCAACCCCTGGACAGCACTCAAAACATCTAGCCATTTAACAGACAAATACAAAACCTGTAAACCAGTGTGATGAACCATCTGCTGTGCCTTCCCTACTGTTCCTTCTACTATTTTGCAAATACAAATCTGCAGATTCTAACAGAATGTCAGCCTTCAACTGTGCTGCATGTATGAGAAGGCAAATAAGAAATAGGAGCACTAGTACTCTTTTTCCACTCCATTTATTAGTTTATAGTGTTGTTTCTTAAATCTGTTTTTCTTCAATTCCTCTATAAAATAGCTACAACTTACTATTAATAGATGCTTTGCTGAAAAATGGTGCTTCACCATTTCACTAACCTGCTTTCAGATAGTTGTAATTTCACTTTAATTTTGTGCTTTTTATGATTTAGAGCGAAGTAACAGAGAAGGAGCAACCACGAAATTTGCTTTTAATGCCAGGTACATTCCAGAAGAGTTGTTTAGACAGCACTCTGAGAATACATGTTATTGTGGTTGCTTTCCTATTTAACTGGGTACAAATAGAATCCAGCATCTGATTTGGGCATACTTCTGTGTCAGTATAGGCCATTTTCTGACTCAGTTTGGTGAGTAGACTGTACAAATCTCATTGCTTGAATAGGTGAGTGTAAGAGGCTTCTGTGTAAGAGGCTACAGTTTGTGTTTATCATTTTAGCTGAAAAGGAAACATAGGGAAAGTAGAATGAAGATCCACATCTGTCAGCTAATTTTTCTCCTTTTCTTAACTTTTTTTTTTTTTATTTTGCAGGTGATGGAAATTAAAGGACAAATGATTCACGTGCCAGAATCAAATTCTATTTTGTTTCTCGGTTCCCCATGTGTGGACAAGCTGGATGAACTGATGGGCCGAGGCCTCCATCTTTCGGACATACCTATCCATGACGCTACTCGTGATGTCATATTGGTTGGGGAACAAGCAAAGGCACAAGATGGCTTGAAGAAACGAATGGATAAACTGAAGGCAACGCTAGAATGTACACACCGAGCCCTGGAAGAGGAGAAAAAGAAGACAGTAGATCTCCTTATTTCTATTTTCCCTGAAGAAGTGGCTCAGCAGTTGTGGCAGGGGCAGCAGGTTCAGGCCAGGAAGTTTGATGATGTCACCATGCTGTTCTCGGACATTGTTGGCTTCACTGCCATCTGCGCGCAGTGCACGCCCATGCAGGTCATCAGCATGCTGAACGAGCTCTACACGCGGTTTGACCATCAGTGCGGATTCCTGGACATCTACAAGGTAAGAACTCGAGTCCCAAGTTACCAATATCTAATGGAAACTGAGACAGGAAAAAAAATTCCGTCAGCTTTCTTCCTAAACTGCAGACTTTCCCTCATATTTCATAAAAATATGAAGGCAATAGTTTTGTTTTATGTGAAAAAAAATCCAAATTTAAAATGTGCCCATTGAAAATCTAATACTTTAACGTGAAACTGTCACTATGGTGCTCCCATGGGAATATAGGCCTTATATTCCCATTTTCCTACAGAAACATGCATCTCCTTTATTATAGCTTGGTTTCCTTTAGGTGACACATCAGCCACGTCATCCTAAATATGAAGAAGTGCAAAGTGATGAATCTTAGCCCCAGCTGCAGCTCCTGAGAGGCACTCAGTTTCAGCTGAAACTTGAATGGTTTAGGGTTTAGGCACTTATCTTTCTCCTGAAAGAATTAAACTTTTCCATAAAAAGCAAACCATTAAGTGAAAAAATTGTTATAAGAAACTTCAACTTCCACTGAAAAACAGGAAGAGGACAGCAGAGGTCCATGCACAGCAAATGTAATGAATGGGACATAGCACTGGTGTGCCATGTTGCTTTACTACTCTGCAGGAAAGATGCCACATATGTTAGTCCTGTTACAGACCTCATCATCTTCACTTCTTTAAGTGGATCTGGTGTCCAGTATGTATTTCAGAGAAAAAAGAGGGGAGGTAAAATTTAATAAATGCAGTGAAGATATTACCTGTGTAATTATCCTGTGGAATCTACATTGTGTTTTGTATATGGAATGCCTTTAATTTTGAGACGGGAGAAATAGAGTAAATTTCTTTTTCTATCTTAATGCACAAAAGAAAAGAATGTGTTGCAAAATTGTATATTAACTTTATTTAATCTCTGTGAGGTTTGCAAACTAACAGTTTTCAAACTGTTTCATAGAGTATATGTTGATAGGCTGAAGAGAAATGGTCTCACAGGAGTGCTGTCCCTTTCATTTTTAGCCTCTATAAACATTTTGAAAGGAATTGCAAAATAATTATTACACTCCTAAATAATAATCATGGCTGAAAAGTTACAAATATACCACAGGTAGAACTGAAAATGGTATAGATAAAGATTGGTAGGGCAGTATACCAAAGTATACAATCACACTGTAAATAAGTTTTGTGCTCCTGGACTAGGGGTTTGTATTACTAACGATCAGAAACCAGACTGTGTTAGGAGAGGAATGCAAGGGAAGATATCAGCCCTCATTAGAAAATTGTTACAGTGATACAGTCAAAAAAAAAAAAAAAAAGGGAAGTTTGATCTCAGTTTGTTTGAGTCTTATGTTGCTGCACTGGATTATGACCCAGCCCTGAGAACAGGACTCGAGGAACTTCTGACCCACAGTTAGGAATGATACCCAGTGACCCTGCTTCACGTACTGTGTGTTCACATGCTTCACATAGTCACTGTGTTCCCAGGTGATTAATTTTAGCTGTTTTGAGGTATTCAGGACATTCTTTGCTGAAAACTACGGTTGCAAGGGAATAGGATATAAAGTATGCAAAACTCTATGACCAGACTGCAAAGAAAGTTGGTTGAATCCTGTGAGAACACTTAGAAGGAATATTTATGGAGGGTCATGAATATTATATCACTTAGACCATGGCTTTCTGCCTTTCACCTAGTTTTGTGCTACTTTAGATAGAAGGATGTTACTGTATGAAAATACTGTCCTGAGCAGTGGAAAAAAGATCATTGGTGAGATAGGCAAGATAAGATTTATGCATTCAAAAACAGGAATAAGCACTCCCATGTTGAGACTAATATGCAAGTTTATGAGCAAAGGTATGAATAAAACCTGTTTTTCTATGGAAGAATGGCTTACACCTCTAAAACCATTTCTCCACTGTTACTGCCTTAATATAGGCTGTTCCTTCTCAGATCCTTTCATCCTGGATTTTCTTATCTCCTCCGTGTCCCCTGAGCTTCCCTACATGTCCGCTCCTTCCCACCGCAGCCCACACATGAACAAGGCAGCATGCACTGTGGATGCGTGTACCTTTTTTTCTCCTCCCCAAATCCTTTTTAGTTTGTTGTTTTTTAACCAGAAGTCTAACAAAGCTACTGTGTAAAAAATGAAGTGAAAGCGACTCAATTGAGTAGCACAGAAAGACAAAACTCAAGCAATGAACCCTTTTTCTTTTCCTTAGAGAATCAGGCTTAAAATAGAGTAACAATTCTTTTGAAAAAAACATTTGCATTTTAAAATGAAAATAGCTTGTGTGTTTATATCTTTTCCATTTGTTTCAGATGAAATTATGAAAGCTAAGTGTATTACTAGGAATGATCACCACCACAACAGCTATGATTTTAGAAAATATTGTCAGGCAGTGAATTTTAGATACATAATCACCACTATTTGTATCCACAGCCTGCCTCAAAGATATACTTGAGTAACTAGGCTACAGAAATTTTTCATGTGACCTAAATATACATCAAAAGAGATCAATTTTCAAATTTTCTTGTTTTTAAGCAGCATGGTAAAAATAATTTGCAAAGATTATTTGGTGAGTACTTCTGAATATCAAATTCACCATTTTGTAAACAGAAAATTAAGCAAAATTCATTAAATAAATTCCGTGCTGTAAATTATTTACCCAGCTTTACCCTTAAAGAATTTTGAATGCAGAACCTCAGTGCTTCTAATCTTGCACTCAGACAATGAATACAATATTTTCAATTGTCTCATGCTATTCATCCAGAGATGTTTGTAGAGAAATATGACACGGAAAGAAGAACAAAGATCCTCACATTAAACAAGTCAGACATAGAGGGCAAGTAAATGAGCTGTTGGATACAGACTAAGAAATCCTTTGAGAAGGCAGAAGGGTGATGAATTAGATTTTGAAATTTTTTGGATATGAAAGTAAGTAGCTATCACTGATGAGGTAGGGAAAGGTTATCCAATAGATGGATGCACAGGTAAGAGTGACACATACAGATGGTGGGCTCAGAAAGTGAATTTCACAGCAGCATTTTGAACGGATACAAATCAGGACAGATTACGTTTGTTCAGGCTGAGGGAGAACATTGCAGTAATTGAGATGCATAGTGTTATGAGCCTGGGTGACAATTTTTAGCAATCTAGAAGCATCTGTGTTTTAGAGAGTGAAACTTCAGAAAGAATCTGCTGACATACAGTCTCGATGAAGAGATCGAGAGGGACATTCTTGTAGTAATCACAGAAGGGAGAGGAGATGAGAGAACTGAGACCTGGTAATGTTTTTGGAAATTGGTGCTGCTGGCTATCAGAGCTAATTATATTTGGCTTGGAATTGAGGAATGAGAGAAAAAGATGCTGTCAAGCAGGGAGAGCAGTGTAGGCGCAGAGGCTTGGCAAGCTAGTGTCTGTGGACATGGAAGTAGAAAGATGGACTCCAGGAGTAGAAGCAATGGGAAAAAGTTCTCAGTAAATTTTGAAAGCTGTTGCTTTGCATAAAATACGTACTGGGTGGCCTGACTGTTTTGACCTGTTTTTCTCTGTATCTGAGTTCCTGTTGTGCTGGGGAATGATGCTTCAGTTAAGCCATCCATTTGTCAAATAAGCTATTTAGATATGCTTCAGCCATGTCTGATGGCATTTAAAACAACCTTGCAAACTGAAATCTTCCCTGCTTAAGATTCCTACAGCTTCTGTTTCTCCTCCACGTAATATATCTTTGACATTGGTTCATTCAAAATATTTTTATTCTTGTTGAGTCCTTCTGCCTGTGTAGGCCTGCTTTCTAAGCTCTTTTCCGTTCACTTTCCTTTAACTACTGCAAAGAGTAAAGGCAGCATGTACTGTGGATGGTTTTTTGGCTGTGTGTGCACTGGCTGTGTGGCTATATGTGCTGGCTGGGTAATGCCAAGCCAAAAAGCGCAGAACCAGGCCTAATACTGTAGGTGTTAGTTTCTTTGTCCTTTCTCTGAACAGGACAACATTTGTACTTAAAGACATTTGCAGATTTTCCCAGACAATAAACTTCTCATTCTGTGAAGTGCTAAGTCCCACTTTCCACATCTAACCAGAGAGTCCTAAGCATTTTTGACAATGAACTATTGTCAGCTGCCAGAATTTCTTTGCTTTGTTATCAAAACTTTAATTGAAAGTTTATTGAATATTTATTGAATAAGACAAAATAATTACATAGGTTTATTTTATATATGTGAATTTCTACTTTCTTTTTGATTTCATTATTTGGCTAAACCGGTACTCTTCTCTGGGGGGGTGCCACACACATGCCTCCAAGTCTTTTACCAGCTTCCTTGAGCTTTTATTCCTGGCAGCATGATACAGTTAGTATGTTAGATCTTCATTTTCTGATTTTATGTGTTTAACTCTGGCTACAGCCTCAATTTTTGCTCATTGTAAAGACCTGAGACTACAAAAGGATAGGAAGTCTGGACTGCTCTGCAGTCAGTTAAGGCTGATACTCACCAGACTTGAATAATGTTGTTTATGTTTATGTTGTGATATAGTGCTTTTAGGAACCTGATTTTAAAATCACATTTTCTGAAAATATCACTTTACATTTTTTTACTGGTAGTTAAAGTTGCAGAAATCTGTATTGATTTTACAGAACATACCAGTACATTCTCAGTGCCGTGAGTATTCTTTCTTGAGAACTGATACATGTACATATATATGTTCTCAAGCTTACTCTTGGTACTATAATGACTAAAGAATACTGCAATGACCAGGGTCATGAGCTTCAGACTATTTGGAAGTTTTTCAGGCTTTATATTTTGTGAGTTAAAAAACATAGCCTCCAAGTTATAATGCAAAATCTATGGCCACTGTTTTTATCTTCTTTCCACCACTTCTGCAATTTTAATTTTTTAAATTCAGTGAAACCATGGCCATTTTGAGAAGGTTTCACATTCTAAACTTCAGCTCAGGCATCTGCAAAATGTAGGAAATGCAATTAAGATGTGTAAAACGATAGTGGTGTTCTCATATGAGCAATATGATAGACATAAAATATTGT